ATCGAAGATTTGAATGGATTGCTTAACTTAAACCCTGTTTGATAATTCAATTCAGTATTTAAACTTAATAAATTCAGATATTAAATGTTCATGCGCATTTGATACTCAAAAATTAAATATTTGAATTCATTAAGTGGCACTGAAATTTTATAATAAAACTTGCTCCAAAAATAAGTGATAAACTATTCATTTATCACTTAATGTAATACTCATTCAAATGTATCAGATTTAGAATGCGTTTAGTTCATGGGTTGGATGGAAGAGGATTACTTATTCTTGAATTATTCATCTTAAGTTGAGTTATTTTTGGATGAATAATCTTGTTATCTAGTGTTTGGTTGGCTTTTTATATTAGATTGGTTGTCTTAGAAAATAATCTCATCCTATTTTTGGTTAGAGATAGGATGAGATGGGATTACTTATTTATAGATCAAAACTAGGGGTGGCACCCGCGCTAAGCGCGGGAGTTGTAACCTGTGCGAGGGGAGGGATGTAGGGTGTTCTTATTGCACAGCAAATCAATCATCATATAGATATTATCAACCTTTAAATCTTAGCTTTATCAGAAACTAAGACTTGAAGGATTTCATTTAGAAGGGAATTGAACTGAACTGGAAAGGTTTAATTCAAAAACATGGAAAATTCCAAAGTAAAAAGAACTAAAAATAGATGGTTAACAAATGGTACTGCCAAAAAGGGATGGTTAACAAAAAGGAAGATGCACAATCCCTGTTCATTATAGCAATCTTTGAGCGGCATAAATGGAGAGAATTGGTGAGTCCATGAATAGACTGCAATTCATGAGCGCATGAAGATAGTGGCAGAAAGAAATGAAAAAGTCACCACAAAGATTCAGGAAAGACAAAACAATGCAATGTAAGAGTGGTCTAAGCAAAGGCGTAATTGCCAATAGGAAGGCAGCATGGACTATAAATATGCGAAGACACTACAATATTATAAGAAGCATAGCAAAGGTGTAATCGCCTATAAGTAAATACTGATAGTTCAAGCACCATGGTATTAGTTACAGCTTCAGCATTTGGTTAGATGCTCAATGGCTCCTTTTGTAAGTAGGTGGTATAGACCATCTTGCATTGTCACCAATGCTGAAGCTGTTTTATTGGAGGTAGTAGTATTTACATAGGTACTACTCTTGATGTGTTTTTGCATATTTGTGCCTTTTTAGGGGCGGGCCTTCTTTGCTGGTGGCTTAGCAGTTTCTAGAGAGCTTTGGACGTTAGTGACAGTAGTGTCTTCTTCAGGAATGGAGTCCATTGTTTCTGCTGGTTCTGAGGATTTGGCTTTCATAGCGAGGCCGAGTTTTGGTGGCTGGGTATTGAGCAGTTCTGCATCCTTTTGGGCTATTTTGCCATGATCAGTCTTCCATGTTGCTGATGTCTCTACGTAATTGATGGTGTATTTCATGATAGCATCTTTCTCTTCCTGGGTGAAGTTTTTGACATGAACAATGACTGCAGTGTATTTCTCAGTAGGTGTTGAGTAGTACATGTTTTGTGGCTTCTTCACGAGGCAGATGATCCTGTTCTTTTAGATAGCTTCTTGTATCTTTTCATGGTTGACATTGTGCTGTATGCAAGTGTAGGACAGATTCCACAAAAAAGTTAAATGGATTGTCTATGTAATAATTGAAATGTATTGTACATTGTAATAGATTAAAAGTATACTTGAGCTTCCTGTCTCTGAATTTCTGCTAGGCTGAATGGCAACAGTTGTTTGCCATCGTGACCATCGATGTCCAGTGTTATTGTTGAAGTGTGATCACCGAGTTCCACTGTCATCCTGCATCTGTAGCATTTGCTTTCATTTTGTTAGCTAGAGTGGTTGTTTTGACTGGAAATGTGGTTTTTTGTGAAGTGTGTTGTACCTTGTCACAACATGTATGCGTTTGTTGCAGGATGTGCAGGGAATAATCAAGTTTGGCTTTGCCTTTAGATATTTGTTGCATGTAGGATACGCTGTGTACTAGAGTCTTTGATTTGTGTCAACGAGCTTTGATATGCCGCTAATCCAAAAAGCTTTTTTCTATAGTGGTGCAGTTATTTGTTAAAACTAAAGGAAAAGAAATAAATGGACTGTTTTAAATCCAAATGTCAGTGTACGCTTACCTCATCTGTCATTAGCAAAGTCCGTATGGTAATGACAGTATCGTCAATTGGGGGAGGGAGCTTAGTTCGATCTTCATATGATTTGTCAAGAACCATTTGGAAATTTGAGTTATGGTTCTCTGCACACCTTAATCAGGAGTTTGGAATTGTAAGTTGTGTGAAATGTAAAATTGAAGAAATAAGTAGTAAGTGTCAGTGTATACCATATGTTGAGTTCAGCAATCTGAGTTATTGGAGGATTGATAAGTATGCAACTGTTGAGCTTTGTTGACAGATTAAAGACTGATATTTTTTGCGCTAATATTTGTTGAGTCCAATGTTATTTATTGACTTGACTTGAATTTGAAGTTGAGGTCGTGCTCAAATTTTATATTGAGAGTTCGTCGAGCTCGAACTCATATTCAAGATTGAAAAAATTAAGTCGAAACTCAGCTCGAGATCAAAATTCGACTCGACTTGGTTCATTTGCAATCCTAATCCCATGCTAGCTCTCTGAATCTTGTCTCGCAAATGTATGTAAGCTAAAGATCAGAACATAATAATGGTTCCGCGTGAACTTGATTTATTAGTTTTCTCATCCATTCTTTGTCTACCAATTATCTATCACCATATAACAGGGATCAATCGATTCCATCCGTTGAACTAGGAATCCGGTGGGTATTCGGTTGGAGTTAATCAATTGATTTGAACATACATTGATTAAACTTGGTCAAAAATTGGATTTGAACCCAAAAAAATCGAGTTTTTAAAATTTTTTGTTTCTCTTTTTTTTTGGATACTGTTTTACATTTTTTATGCAATTTAAAATTTATATGCGACTGATATGTAATTTTGAGTTTTGACATCATCAAAACCATGGTTCGCCATATCGTTCGAGTCCAATTTGACACAGACGAATTATAATAAGAACAGAACTTGCCGTTTGGATACCAACATGCGATACACCAATTACAAGATTTCTTTTATATTTATAAGTATATCACAGGTTTGGAAGCTTTTCTCATGTTCTCTTCTTTTTTCTTGTTCAGATGTTTAGTTTGCTTAGCGAATTTTGAAAATGAAATCAATGCATTCAGTCTAGTGGATTTAGGAAGGATAAAGCAATTAGACAATTAAGCCAAGATTTCACTCTATTTACCAATGTACCATGACATCGACCGCTATGTAAGTTTAACCTTTTATATAACCTACGGCTAATTAATTCATCTTTTTACAAAAGGGAAAATCACTTGTTTCGTCCTTCACATTTCGCAAAAAATATTCTTTTCGTCCCTCACTTTTAAAATGAAGCAAATTCATCCCTGACATTTAAAAATTAAATGTATTACATCCTTGAACCTAATTTTCAATCTGAATCAAACCATTCAATAACCCAGTAATAAATTTCGGAAATAGAATTGATAGATCACTCAGTCAATTCCATCATATTCACATGATATTTATTAAACCAAAAAAATAAAAATTATAACATAAAAGGCCATTCTTTGTCTTGGAATAGTAGAGTTTTTTTTGGATAAATCTTTTCATACACTGTTAGTATATCCGCTTGCGAATCTAGATGTGTATCATAAATATAAAATTTGGTGTTTAAATTTAAATTGAAATGATATGACAGTACATAAAACCGTCAGTGTATACAATGATAATGTAGGAAAGATTAATTTTTCTTTTTGGGTTCATTAAATTTTACATGAATATCAAGTTGAATTAACCAAGTGATCTACCAATTACACCCCCAAAATTTCTAATCAGGTTGATTGGTGGTTTGATTCAAATTGAAATTTGGGTTCAGGAATGTAAGAACTTCAGTTTTTAAATGTCAAGGACGAAATTGTTTCGTTTTAAAAGTGAGGGATGACAAGAATATTCTTGTGAAATGTGAAGGATGAAACCGATCATTTTCCTTTTACAAAATAAAATAATCTAATGAAGAAGTTTCCGAAATCATTTTAGGGACTTAGTAACTCTTAAAAGAAACCATTTTCACTAACTATATATGAAAACTTTACTCTCAGGGAAAGTCAGTGAAAGTATTAGAAACCTCAGAGAAAGTTTCTGAAATTATCCAATGAATCTATGTACCTGCTATTTTTAACCTTTAACCCGGTAACCCAGTTAATTTTGAAATGCCTGCTGCCTGCATGCCCAATTATTTGTCGCATTAATTTCTGAGCCAATAGGTGTTATCTTCAAGTTTTTTCTCCCCATAAAGGGGGAAATTCTTTCTCCCCACCACAGTGGCATTCAGAAATGTAACCACTTCCAAAGTTTAGTATTTCACTCCTTTTGTTCCATTAAAAATGTCATACTTTCGAGTTTGGAATATTCTAAAATGTTTGTCATGTTAAAAAAGTCAAAACTCTTTTTAATCTTTTTTTCAAGATTGTCACTTCCTTAAATTATGTGCATGTTACATTCAAATTCAAATTTTAAATATTAACGAATAAAATTGGAAAGAAAAATACAAACATTACAATCAAATTATAATTTTTAAAAAGTTAGATTTTTGAAACACGACAAACATTCTTTTATTCATATTTTATCTCATTCATTTGCTATGAAGGACTTATGTAACTTGCATTTTAAATCAAACAATGATTTGGCTACCTTGTATAAATTTATAGGAAGATTACGTGGATAAATGCAAAAATCACAGAGGATAAAATGAATATTTATGCAAACCACATGGAAGTTAAGTGAATATTTTGATTTCATTATATACACTTTTTGAGTGTATATGGTATAGTAGCCGTAACTGATTATATGTTCTGTCCATTTTTCTTTCATTTGTGTTTATGTACAATAGATATTGCTTTTTTTTTTGTCAAAATGATAACATTTGTATTGATTTAAACTTGATAATACAAGAGCACTTTACAAAAGGAGCTCATTGCTCTCATAATCTATTCTTGCTAGATCTTTAATCCAGCCAGGGAAACATGATTCCCAATATACATCATTAACTAGCTTCAAGGCAAACTTTGCTAGCCTATGACACACTTCATTCCCTTCCCTATGTATAAAAGAGAAGTTGCATTGCTCAAAAAACTCCCTCAGTTGTTGTATGTCCTCCAGTATCACAGCACAGTTGCTGTTGTTGCATGAGACGGTTAAGATACAGTCTATCACATTCTTGCAGTCTGATTGTACTTCGATTCTTCTCCAGCCTGCTGCCTTTCCCAATTGCATTGCAGCTCTAATTGCTGCAGCTTCCTCAATTTCTGGTTCCCCCAACTTCTCCTCCATTATGGCCCAAGCTTTCAGCACCTCTCCTTTCCAGTTTCTAGCCACTATTCCTTTACCAGTTCTGATCGATTGTGTTGAGATTGCAGCATCAGTATTAATCTTGTTCACAAAACATTTCATTCCCTTTCTCTTTCTTAAACTAGGTAGGCTGATTCAATAGCTGGTTTGTATGGTAGGAATTTTTTTTTTTGGTTTTACGCTTTGCGGTATCAATTCGAACAAGTGTGTTCATAATCTTTATTCTTTGTTGCATTTAGGACATTAGTTGGATTGAAGAAACTAGAAGGAATTTTTGTACTTTTTCCTTGTAATTTATTTTCTTGTAATCATCCTCTATATTGTTTTCTAGTTTTTTTTTTATTAATGAACCCATAACTTTTTACGTTTTTTCTATGAACATATAACCCTGAACTCATGTAAGATATCAAATATTTTATTTGGATGGAATTTAATTTATTTAATTTTTTGATAACTTTTTTTATTTAATTTATTTTACGTTATCTTTGAATTATCTTAAAGTATCAAATTGATGAATAAATGATCCCGTGCATTGCACGGGTGAAAGTGCTAGTTAGCAAGCGGCGGCAGGCTTCAATTGACTTGTCATGTTTAATTTCAGAGAAAAGTAAGCCAATGCAAGAAATACAATACAATTATCATTTGACATAATCTGCTTTACTGTTTTAGTCTTCATTGATTTACAGATACAGAAGAAGTAGTCTTCCAGGGCAAGGTGAATGGCTGAAAACAGATTACATGTTTTACGACAAGCATGCACCAGTACAGCAGCTTCTCAGTTATCAATCTTGAAATGACAAATTTGCACATTTTCAGCATAAAGTTCCTTCAAATTACCGCGCTTTCGGGTTGCAAAATACTTTCCGCAGTTATAGGCCTTATACTTGCGAGGATTTTGCTCATTGATCAGTTCCTCCAAGGGCTCAACCCAAGTATAATGTGCTGGGTTGAAGAAGAATGGAATGGAAAACCTTTCCGTCTCAGAATTCAAAATCGCCCTGTGTTCTACACTTTCATATTTGTCATTGCTCCACACCTGCGCACAATCCGACAAAACAATCAGCTGAATTATTAGTATAATTAGCCTTTTTGTCATTTCTGATGTTGGTACCTGGATAATGTCACCAATATTGATGATATAAGCATTAGGAATTGGTTTCACAAGAATCCACTCTCCGTCATTTTTCCTCTTTACTTCAAGTCCTCCAACATCATCTTGAGCAAGAATGGTCAAAGCCACACCATCGTTATGCCGACCAACCGCCAAAGCCAAATCGGGGCTAGGACAAGGTGGATAATGATTGACCCTGATAATCGGCAGTGGAGATTTGCCTGCGTGGAATGGCGGAGCTGGTGGAGGAATCAAAAGGACGACGTCGTTGAAGTGTGGACCTTATCGGAGTGGAGATGACAACACTACATTCAGGGACTTTTCTCTTTTTGGCTTTTTCAAAGCAATCAACGTCAGATGGAGTTTGAAGGCAGTTAACTCAAAAGTATTGGTATATGAATTAGATCGGTGTGTTAATTTTGGTTCAAAGTTTTAGAGGATAGAGAAAATTTGTGTTAAACCAAACCAATTTGAATTATTAGAAAATTAAAGTACAAATATAGCAGGACACTTGGCGCAATACTAGAGGCGGCATTGGGTTGGAACACGAAACATGCAACCGAGGATCCCAAGTGTTCTTTGGCAACCCCAAGCTCAGAGCTATGAGCTCCAATAACTTGAAAGCCAGTTTTTCCACTTCATGAGCATACTCTTCACAAACTTCCGTGCAAGAATTGCAAATAGTTGTGCAAGAATAGTTGTTGGGTGACAAAAATCTAAAAGAGTGGAAAAGTATCTGCAAATCAGGAGTGGAAATACCTAAAAGATAAGATAATGAGAGATTAAAAAAAAAGTGATTGAGAGCAAGGTTCGCCAACTCGGCCGAGTCATAATCGGAACGGCAGCTACCGTTCCGATACCGATACCCGAAAAGCCGAATACATCATATCCGATTTGAATCGCTCCGAATCAGCCGATATCGTCCGAATTAGAACCATGTAGCAAGATAACGGCCAAATTCTCGGATTCGACTCGGATATGTACTGGTAAACAGGTTTAAACAGCAACTAGGAAGCCAAACCAAACAAAAAATGAACAGACACCGAAAGGACACAAAAGGCATCTCACCACAGCTAGCTACGACTGTTGCAGAGCCTTTTACAAAACCAAACAAAATTCAAACAGAGAACAAAAGGCCACAAAGTGCAATTATATAAGTAAATTATTGTCCTACAATTACAAACGGTGGTCCACCACAGCTATACGGCTGTTGCAGTCCTTTCCCATGCTTTCTTGTTTCCTTTTTCAGCCACAAAGACAAGATTTAGGGGAAAGTGGGGATAAAGGGAGAATCACACCAGCAATTTCTGCGTGATCCATCACTACTTTTTGAGCTTCACTCTAGATTTTGAAGTAATTATTTGGAGAAACAACCCGATCGGTTCTTCAATTTCTTCATCGTCCGGCTGCGGCTCAAAACAAAGGTGACGACAAGCTATTGGAGGAAGACAATAACAGCGGGAAAGGGAAAGCAAAAGAAAGAATAAAGGTGACGGCCGACTCTTCAATTTCTTCATTATTTGGCCGTGAAGGAGGTGAAAAAAGTGAGAAACGGAAATTGGGAAAAAAAATGAAGGGAAGAGTCAGAGAAAGATACGGCTAAAAGTAAAGGGAAGACTCTCGGAGATGCGGCTGCACTAAACAGAAGATGGGCATTTGTACCGAAGCCAGCCATAGGGAAAAAAATTGAAGGAAAAATTAGAAGCACATAAAGTCCAGCTTTGGCCCAATCATCTGGTCACTGCAGTGGATCAATATAGGATGAAAATGTTTATTGAAAATATGGTGAAAATGCTTGCTTCTTTATGTTTTTGCATTTCATAATATTATTTGATAGGTATTTGTTTTTTTTTATTGTATTGAACTAAACACCGCTACTTCCTTTGTGTACCGAGATTTGTATTGTATTATGTAAGATATGATGATTTTATTCTTATATATACTTTTTTATCTCATATAAAATAGAATTAGAACGTACACTTTATTCTAAAATCATTTATTGCTAATGCTATAGGCCTTTATGGTAATGACAGCATTATTTTATTTAATAATTAGTAACTATATATGATAATGTAGGTATTTAGTAAATTTAAGTTGATAATTGTGTATAGCTTTTAATAACTCAAGTGAACCATAGTTATTCTTCTAGTTTCCTGAACTTTTTTGTCCCTTAGAAATTAGTTTTTTTAAAAAAAAAATTTCCATTTTTTCGTAAAAATTTTGTCGCCAGTCTCAATTTAGAGTGCATTTTGAAAAATGTCAAAAGAAACTTCTTGTTTTGAGATGAAAACTCAATAGTTGTGCAGTCAGGCCTAAACGGGGATGGTGGAGGCGCTTTTAGACTTGTAAATGGTTTTGAACTCCTTTTCTAGTAGAATACTGATCAAAATGAATATTGGGAGTAATATGGAAGTCATTAATCTATAATTTTATTAAAAAACATACTTTGTCCAGCCTTTGGTAGTTTTGTGATGGCTTATAGGCCCCGTTTGGTAAGTGAGTTTTTTGGGTGTTTGTCTAAAACTTTACTGTAGTTTATTGTAGAAGTTGTTTAAAAAATTTTTGAAGTATGTAAATTTTTTAATATTTTGAAGTGTATAGTTTAAAATTTTTTAAAAGCCTTTTGAGATTACTATAGTTAAAGTTTTTAAAAAACTTGTAGCAGATAAACTTGGCAAAAAACTTGCCTACCAAGCAAGGCCATAGTTCCAAATGCCATTTCTTTATACTCATAAATACAAGTCCTTTTAAGTTTTTATAAGACTTATTTTTTTCTCAACTAAAATTTAGCAACATTGGAAGTCAAAGATTAAAAAATATATATACATAGAAAATAAATAAAAGAAAATTTGAGGGAGAAAAGAATTCAGGAAAATATAAATTCACAATAAGACTAAAAGAAATTTAATAAATAAAAAATATAAAAATTATATAAAAAATAAAAAAATAAAAGGAAAAAAGAATACAAAAAATAGATTTGGATATTGGATGGAATCAATTTAAACCCATTCCAAAATGATCCTGCCCAAATTAGTTTCGAAACACATATGGATAAGGTTGGGGCTAAACCTATATTATTCGGTCCCATCTCAAATTCAAGCAAATCCCTTCCACCCGCCTATTTTGCCATCTCCGGACAAAATCTTCCCCCCAGAGAACTAAGCAGATAAACTTGATTAACTGAAGACTGAATACCCACACACATGGCCCAAAGTGGTAACATAATGATTAAAATCGAAACGGAAATAGCATGTACGAGACATACAACTGAAAATTTTGATTATTTTGGCAATTACTACTCACGTGTACCAGAAACAATTCTAGTAGAATATAAGGCAAAATACCAAAAAACTTTCCGTAGTTTGATAAATGTTCAATTTAACTCCCTCTAATTTGGAAATCTACACTAACTCCATGTGGTATTGACTGAATTGAAAATTAGATAGAAAGCATCCAATCTAACGGTTGTGTGTAAAATGTTAATATTGCCCCTACTATATGTAAGATGCTTTCCATTCAATTTTCAATTTAGTCGAAATCACAGGGAGTTATAGTGTAATTTTTTCAAACTACAGGGAGTTAAATTGAACATTCGACATATCATAGGGAATTCATTTATATAGGGACAATATTGACATTTCATGTATAACCGTTAGATTGGATGCTTTCCGTCCAATTTTTAAATTAGTTGAAACCATAGGGAGTTGTAATGTAGATTTCCAAACCAGAGGAAGTTAAATTAAACATTTAGTAAATTACTGAGAGTTTTTTGGTATTTTACCCTAGAATATATCATAGCCAGGAAAAACCAAAGTTGAAGGCAAGACACCTATAGAAGGGTTAACATAGTATCACCAAATTCATATATTTTAGACAAATAATATCTTTTACACCGGTAATAAGCACCTCGAACCATTATCAAAGTAGAAGCCTTTTCAATCAAGGGAGCACATGGATTGCAACATAAATGGACTTCAGGAATTAACGCTTGGAAGACATTCACCACATCTACTAGGTAAGGAAAATGTAGTTAAAATTGGAGACATGAATAATATTTTTTTAAACATTGAGATACAGAGAAAAAGAAGATTGACAGCATGTGAAACAATGGACAGAATGTGAAACAATGGAGTGCTAATTTAACAAAAAAGTCGAAACATGTTCACTTGCCGACCACGGGGCTCCATGTCTGATTACCAACATCTTAAAGCTGACCTCTATCTTCAAAGAGTAATGCAACGAAATAAAGTAATTAGACCTCGTTTAATAACCCAATTCAGTACTTAAATTTACTAGATTCAACTTTTAATATGTTCAAACATATTTAATAATAAAAAATTAAACATTAGTATTAATTAAGTGGCGCTAAATTTCTTAGACAAGCCTTACTCCCAAAAAATAAGTGATAAGTTATTTACTTATCACTGAACGTGATATATATTCAAATGTATTTGATTTAATACTTAACAATTCAGTAATTTAATGGATTCAAATTTCAAATTTCAATTTTTAGATTTTAGTTTTACTAATCGCATCCTTTAGTCTTAAATTTAATCCTTTAGAAAACACATAAACCATATTGAAAAAATGTCATAGAAGCAAGTAAATTATGAGACAATAGCACCGTAAAACTCACTTTTCATCAAGATATGGAGCGTAAATCTTGTTTACAACCCAATTCAAGGAGATTCATACGTATGAGTATTGGCAATTCTGCCATTATCCTCCATACATCTCCAGCTCCATGATAAGGACCTGCAACAAGAACAAACATAGTTCCAGGAAGTCGAATGACATCATACCAAAAAAAAGAGTGAGTAGAAATTATTGTAAGGAATCAACTAAAGAACGTTGTCCTCAATGAGAAATATCAGTGAACACCTATGCTGTATAGTCCCTCAAATTGGGATGTTATAGTAACAAAAAAAGAACAGAAATTTGAACTGCATTGAACATCAAAATAATCTAGATTAAGCTAACTGGTGAACAGTGAACTGAAGAGCAACAATCCCATTACCAAAAAGGTTCAAATTTTGCTAAAATTAGTCTACTTATTTAGTCAATTCACATATGAATTACACAAACCAATACAAACTTATATTAAAAAAAACCCAGAAAAGTAAATCAGAACCTAGCTTAAATATACACTGAAATTCATTGTATACAAGCAAAAATAATTACAGTCAAAGAAGAGATTTTTCCTACCAAGTAAATTGCATAGGGATAAATTACGAAGACTAAAAATGGAAAAATCCCAAAAGATTCATAGATTTCACATCATTTCTTACAAATTCTATATTATAAATAGAATGCGCAAAAAAAGAGGTAACATTTTTTTTAAGGGACAAGGAATCCATTGCCACCAGCAACAACTTAATTTCAACAGAATCTGTAATTAAAATACCATCTTACTAAATTGTTTCATAAATCACCATCTAATTAATTGCAAAATACTTCAGGGAACAACACAAACTAATTGTCATAAACATTAACTCATACCTAAATAGCATAATTATTGTTAGTGAAGCCGACACAATCAAAAAATATGAAGTCTCAGACACAAATGCAAACATGAAATAAAAAAAAGAAAATAATAAAAGTAAACAAAAGAAATCAACATCAAAACCAGCTGTAAAAGTGACCGTATTTCTTTTTTCTTCACCTGAAGCCTCTAGCAACTCGAGCTATAGATGATTCACCACATCAGCATCAAGCCTCAAACATTACCACCATATATTTTACCCTATTAAATCACCCATCTTGGATGCTTTAATTTGCGCTTCGAGAAGAGGTAATTTCAAGATATCTGATGCTTTAATTTCGATCTCAGAGGTAATTTGAGGATGGTAAATAGATGGCAAACCAGTTTCTAAGTTAAATCCCAAATTAAGAATCAAAATTGTAAATTAAATTTCACAGCATGTTTTTATGAAAGAGATAGAAATTGATTGAGATTTGAGAGAACGTCTTGGGAGGCAACACGACTAAAGACGGGAAGAATCGGTGCGGAGAAGAAAAGGTAAATGGAGGCAAACTAAGATGGTACCGAACAGGAACTGGGCAATGGAGTTGTTCACAGTTTGAATTAACAAGATAACTTGCTCAAAATTCAATAATAAGCAATATTAATAATGAAGCCGATAAGAATTCAACTTAATGGTACTACATTGATCAGAATAAGGAGATTACAGAATTGGCGGGAAAAGGAAAAGGGGATGAACAAGAAT